GAGTTTGTGCGTGCGTTAAACACTCAGGTCGACTAATTAGGGCTGTATGCCTGCGAACAGGCCGTAAAACAAAGATGGCGGCTTTCTACAGAGTGACGATTGTTTTATCCTAGAAGATTAATTTATTTATTTCGCCCAATCATTATGGTAATTATTTACATAAAAGTATTAAAGCTACAACTTTAAATAGGGCAAGGAGTCTAAAGAAACCTTCATAGGCTTTTAAGGTAAGGCCCTAATTTAATGTCCAGTGCAAAGTTTTATATTGTGTCAATCAGTGCCAGTAAAAGTATTTACAAGAATATGAAGATTAAACAATATTGCTTTCACTAGTAAGAATAAAGTACATAAGAAGGAGAAAATTTGGAGAGCTATAAAGACATAATCTGTTAATTACATGAATATGAATTAGACTTCCTTGTTTAAAATATAAGTTCACTAGATTGTATTGACAATGTCAATTATGTATTTTTTTTAAAGATTGGTAGTGATGTTATTTTTGTCAAGCTAACATCAAGATTATTCCGAACATCCACTCCTTTCACTGAGAGTGAGTGCTTAGTATAATTAGTTCAATGGCAATGCATATGAAGTTTCGACGAGTTTCGGGTACTGTATTACTATTGGTGAATTTGGCTATTTGCCATAAAAAATCCGTAAATGAATGTGGCAAGTTTTGTAAATGATGGTATCGGAACATGAATAAGCTTATCAAGTTAGTAAGTAACATCTTAAAGTAACATCTTAAAGCCTTTTCGTGAGTAACCATACATTGCATGGTTACTCACGAAAAGGCTTTAAGATGTTACTTCGAAAATGGCATTTGCAGCATTCTCAGAACACAATTTGTTAAAAACTAGGTTTTCAAAACACTGTTTTAATTAATGGTATTAAATTACAATGTTTTAATTAATGGTACTATTATATAAGTGTGATTTGTATTATTTGGTACAAGATTTTTACAGTTTATGTGTCTGCCACTGGCAGTTGACTGACAGTTGATTGCAGTAGAGAAGAGACTGCAATCTGAACATTTTTTTGTCATATCATCAAATATAAACAAAGTGACTAGCCGGCAGCTGGGTATTTATGATAGTGACTATAGTTAAATATAAAAAAACTTTTGTTTGCGCTAGCTTTCACCGAGCTTACCGTTAGAGTGTATGGTAGGCACTGTGTGCGGAAAGTGAAACGCAGTCTGGGTCGGGTTGTGTTTTGTTTGACTTAGCATTTTTTCTTAGTCACTATATAGCCGGCAGATTACTAAATAGCTGGCTGCCAGCTGTATAGTCACTTCGAAATTTAAATGTTTACTCAATAATTATGAATGAAATTTTTTCATAGCAACCATGGATTTCCTTTGCGCAGATACATGTACGCTTAGCGTACCTTTTTAAATAAATTTTCAGTTCATATCTCGTTTGATAATTAATTAAAACATTTTATACGAACAACAGTTCCACCGTTGTAGTCAGTGTAATAAATTTTATGAAAATTTGTAAGTTTAATTGTAATACTAAGGGTGAGCTACGTTTAGTAAGATTCTATCCTAATAGCTAGTGACTTTTAAAATGGGAAGCGAAATTGTTAATAATAAAGTGTTGATGTAATAAAACCATGTTTAATTTGGCGAAACGGAGATATCATTAATTTTGCCTTATTTTCACCGATCACAGCCTCGCAAACTTTAGCCCTATATTTTATAACTCCTTTGATTTTCTATTAAAATTGCTTAATTAAAGAGGTAGTGTTGAGCTTTGGTTTCAGCGTTTGTACTTGTTGCATGTTTCAAACATTAGATGAATCAGAGGAAGCAGTGGTAAGGGTAAAAGGAAGGAATTAACAACATATTTCTATGGACATATTTAGTTTGAATCACCCAGAAGATGAAGATGTACAGGAAGTGGACAGCTGCTTAGACCATTATTATGCCTCCATTCTGAACGATGGTGATTCAACTGCCCTTTGTTATGAAGAACAGGACAGCATCACATTTAGTGGTGACAACAATGAGATTTTTCGCGACTACAAAACAACAGCAGAGGACGTTCGTGCACAACCTGGTGTCCCAAAGAAAGAACTACACGAACTTCTTGACAGTTTGGCAAAGGAAATCGACTACACATCCATATCTAAATTCAACTTTTCTCGAAGTTTTGTATGGGAAGGAGCGAAAAGAGCACTAACGCGAAAGTCATTTTGTGCAAAAAACAAGATGTCTGTAAAATTTACAGATGACATCGGCAACAGCGAGGGAGCCGTTGACTTGGGTGGACCTATGAAGGAATTCTTCACACTAGTTTTGCAGTGGATGGTCACACCAGTTATTTTGTGGCCCTGAACATCACAATACATCTCTTTCCAATCCACTTGCCTCGAAGGTAACGATTATTTTTTGCTGGTACCCTCATAGCAATGTCCTTAGTGCATGGTGGCGCTGGACCGCAGTGTTTTGCCCATAACATGTTTGAAGCTCTTCACCACATTCCTGACAAAGTTGCCATTACAATTGAAGATGTGTATGACAGGGAATTACAGTCATCACTTGAAAAGCTAAGTAATTCGGTTAGTAAAGAAGAGGCATTCCACCGTCCAAGTTATGAATGGCAGCACTTTGCAGGGCGTTCTTGATCTTGCTGGGATGCTTCAACCGATCCAGACAACAGACGACATAAGGAAGATTGCCGAAATGACAGCAAAGTGGTTTGTCCTTGGACGTGCCCGACCAGCACTGGAAAGTTTCGTAAATGGTTTGTCAACGCTTGGGGTCCTTGATGCACTCACACAGAATCCTGATGTTTTTCGTCCAGCGTTTTGCCATTATCCCGAAAAGCTTACAGCTGAACGCACTGAAAACCTGTTTCAGGTGTTCCAAAGTCCAGTTGGATCAAACAAAGCAGTAACAGAAAGCTTGGTTCTATCACGATGGCATGATTATATACAGGATATTGAAGAAGGTGGAGATTCCCTTACCTTCAATGGCATTTTGTTCTTTTCAACAGCAAGTAAAGTCCTTCCCGCTCGTAAGATTTATCCCACCATTCAATTTCTACATCATGCTGAAGCATGTGGTGAAAAGTCGAGGTTCCCCAAGGCAAATACATGCTCAAATATATTATATCTTCCTGTAGTGCACACTACATATGAAGCCTTTGTAGCTGACATGACCTTTGGTATTCAAAATGGACGAGGCTTTGGTATTGCATGATTAAACTGTGATTCTCCATACTTGGTGACTTGCAATAAATTTCGTGTAACAGACACTGAAGTCCGCAATGTTTTTGCAGGGTTTATTTACATAATTGTTGCGTTGTATGAGTGCATGTATTTATATTTTAATGTTGTATAGCATCAGATCTATATTTTATTGTAATTAATGGACAACTTGCATGTTAGACTAAATTTTAATCTAAGTAAAGATAAGGTAATAAAACACAACAGTTAAAAAGAAAATAATGAAATTAGTAAAATTGCAAAATTTGGTTGCGAAATGTTGTAAAATGCAGAAAATATAGCCTTGCGAAGTTTGCATATTTTCAGTATATTTGTATTACGTGCGGAAATTGTTACCATTTTCGGTTCAAAAATGGTAACAATTTCCGCACGTAATACAAATATACTGAAAATATGCAAACTTCGCAAGGCTATATAGTTTCTAAATTTTACAACATTTCACAACCAAATTTTGAAATTTTACTTATTTTAATAAGTTCTTTTCGGGAATTTACTTTTTTTGGCCTAAATAAAAAATTAGTCTAACATGCAAGTTCACAAGTTGTCTATTGCTATATTTGACAGCCTTTGCTACTGTAGAATGGACTGGTAAACTTTAGTCAGAGTAGTATCGTTTATCTAAGCAAGTATTGATATTTATTTTAAACAACAAGATATATGTATATGATTATGTATCAATGTTTGTTAACTATTAAAAAGTTATTAATGTAGTAACGATTTGTAAAGTATATACATGACTGCAGGATTTACGTTTTGCAGTGCCCTTGGCCAAAGTCTACCAGCGAGGTGTGTTCGGGGTAGGGATCTTCATTTAACAAGTATAACAAGTTAACAAATTACTCGTCACTATTGTACCGTTTAAAATTAAACATCATATAATTATATATGCAGTAGCAAACTGTGACAATTCTTGACAAACAAAGAATAATGTATAGCTTACAAATGTACAGGTATACTGACAGCAATTTTTATAAGAACTAGTGGCATTAAGTTTGTCCAGGCTTTCAGACTCAAAACATTCCAAGTTATCCTTCTCAAATAATTAGCCCCAGTTTCTATTTTGTTCCATTTTTTTTTTCAATTTAAATCTCAATGTTATTATTTTTATATTTAAAATTAAAATTGGTTCTTATAAAGAAGGTGTACCTTGAATCTACAATATTTGGGCAATCTCTTCTACAATGGTTGAATATAAAATAACAGCATCTTCTGAATTGGTAGGCATTTCTAGATGCTTCTCTAGCATTATAATTGACGCTAATTCAACAAACTCTTCTGAGCAACCATGTTCTGGTGTTTGAACACAACACCTCCGTTGGGCAATCTCTATATCTTCGGAAACTGGCGTAATTAGATCCCTTTGCATCATCTGTTTTTGAAGAGAGGAAATATATGACATCAGGTTGACCACTTGGAGATTCTGCATTTACCGACTTTCTAATTCTATGCAGGTTCCATTCCATAGCAAACCTGTGCAGCTCGTCACGTATCATGCTCGTGAAGCAAAACTTCAGACACTCAACTAGTATGTCATCCGTATCACAGAACAGGCCACTATCCCTAAGGTCTTTAAAGAAGTTTATCCACCAATCAACACAACCTCTCCTAAGCATACCCCAAAAAGCCTCAATACGTTGATTGTGACAGGACTTTCCATAAAGAAAACTTTGCTCATCGTTATTGAAGAAACGTTGCAGAGCTGCTACATGAACATTTTCTGTCCCACAGTCCCCTCAAATTATTCCGGCAGTTCCTCCGATCAGTTGAACACATTCAATATAATACTGAGCTATTACGCTGGGGGTTGTTGTTGGAAGGACCCACATCAAGCCACATTACACGCTTGCTGTGTCCATCAATCGAACCATGGATGCAGAAACCAAAGGGTTTCAGCTTATCATAGCCGTCTATATGCCACACATGATTTGGACCCTCCGTTTTATATTGTCTCCTTTGTAATCTATGTCTTGACCTGGCATCAACTCCTTCAGGGTCCAAAACCTTCAAAAGTTCCCTCACAGTTTCTTTGTCAACAACCACACCATGACCTTGTAGTAATCGTCTAGTCATTTGTCGATAACCCATCATGTTTCCGCTACCACGCAATTCTCTTCTGATTGCTCGGTAAACTTCTTCAATGTTGGAACGATTTCTTCGTCTTCCAAGACCACGTTGTTGTAGGATTCGCTTCAGCTGACGAATGCTCAAAACGTACCCGTGCACATCACTGTAAATTTCAGGGAGTAAAAATTACCACTTTGAAGGTAAAAAATTACTCTCTTGAAAGGAGTAACTGATTTTAGGGTAGAAATTACTCCATAATGCAGGGTAGTTAGTATAGCTAAATCGTTGAATACGGAGGGGTAATTGAAAGAGGGGTAAAAATTACACTGGTTTTGCGGGTAATGTTACGCGGTGTATATTCGGGGGTAAATTTTTACGGGGTAAAACTTACCCCTTAGTTACCCTTCAATTTTTCAAGATTGCGGCGACGCATGGAGTGGCAGAGACCCGCAGAGTCTCTTCTCGAGTATACGATTGAAATTTTACCGATTAATTTCATACATCAAGCACATAAATTTGTGACTGGCGTCTTCATGGGGCAAATCATTGTTATTAAATGTGTTGGCGTCGCCAGCTTCCTCAGTGTTAGCGTCATCAATGTTTTCGACATTAGTGACATTCGTCTGAATACGTTTGATATGCTTTCGCCGAAAAAATGATCCACAGATGCAATAATTATAAGGCATTTATGGCTTGTGCCTTTGGTTTATAGATTTCACACCACTCGCTTATAAGCGAGTCCGGTACGAAAACATAGAACACCAAGTTTCATTCCCAAATTATCGTATAAGTTATAAATTGCCATTGGGCATGCAACATGCGGCTGGTTTCAATTCATTAATCAATGTTGCGTGTTGCCGGTATCGGTCAGTTTTGATGTCGCGGAGAGAGTAAAGCTCGTGCAGATTGATTAATAGCTAGGTCTCCTATTTCATTTTACTTTTGCTATTATTGCCTATTCATGCCCCAAAAGAGTCCCTGAAACAACCAAATTTGTGATCGCGTGACACGCTTATAATCGTGACCTTGTTATTTTGAACTTATCACAAGAAACCTAGCTTAGAAACGAACACCTAAGGGTTTATTTCCGCCCCCTGGCCGTATCATATACTATTAAAATGTAGGCAGTTGTCTCTTTTGTGAGCACTAGGGCAACATTGATGATTTTGAAAAAAAGAAAATACCTATATGACTGTAAATTTCAGGGAGTAAAAAAATTACCCTTTTGAAGGTCAAAAATTACTCCCTTGAAAGGAGTAATTGATTTTGGGATAGAAATTACTCCACAATGCAGGGTAGTTAGTAGCGGAATCGTTGAATACGGAGGGGTAATTTAAAGAGGGGTAAAAATTACACCGGTTTTGCGGGTAATGTTACGCGGTGTATATTCTGGGGTAATTTTTTACGGGGTAAAACTTACCCCTTAGTTACCCTTCAATTTTTCAAGATGGCGGCGACGCATGGAGTGGCAGAAACACGCAGAGTCTCTTCGCGAGTATACGATTGAAATTTTACCGATTAATTTCATACATCAAGCACATAAATCTGTGGCCATCGAATGAATTGATAACTGGGATCTTCGTCGGGAAAATCATTGTTATTAAATGTGTTGGCGTCGCCAGCTTCCTCAGTGTTAGGCTGTTAGCAACATCAATGTCTTCGACATTCGTATGAATACGTTTGATATGTACTTTCGCAAAAAATGATCCACAGATGCTACAATTATAAGGCATTTATGGCTTGTGGCTTTGGTTTATAGATTTCAAATCACTCACTTATAAGGGACTCCGGTTCGAAAACATAGAACACTAAGTTGAATTCCCAAATTAACGTATAAGGTATAAATTGCCATTGGACATGCAAAATGTGACTGGTTCCAATTCTTTAATCAGTGTTGCGTGTTGCCGGTATCTGTCAGTTTATATGATGCCGCGGAGATAGTTAAGCTCATGCAGATTGGTTAAAAGGTCTCCTATTTCGTTTTATTTTGTATTTTTGTGCTATTATTGCTTATTCATGGCCAAAAAGAGTCACTGAAACCACCAAATTTGTGATCGTGATACGCTAATAATCCGGCGCGACCTTGTTATTTTGAACCACAGTTTGAACTTAGGACAAGAAACCTTAGAAACGAACACCTAAGGGCTTATTTCCGCCTACTGGCCGTATCATATACTATTAAAAATGTAAATTATTAATGTGAATTATTAAAAATGTAAATTATTAATTCCACCAAGTGAAGTGCAAAGAAACCACATCATTCAAGTCCACCTATTAAAAATGTAGGCAGTTGTTTCTTTTGTGAGCACTCGGGCAACATTGGTGATTCCGAAAAAAACCCAACTAGACTAACTGCCCATGCAAGATCCTCTTGAGGAGAGTGCGAGGTTGCGTGCATGATTTTACTTTACTTTACATGATTTTACCATGCAATCAACATTTCTCGCGGCGGGGCGCAAATAATTTTAAACACAATGACTTAACTTATCTGTGTTCACGTGTTGTATGTGCACCAATCAGCGAATGCGCATTTTTGGCGCCGAGTTAGAATACAACGAATAAAAGAACGAAGCGATCAGGCTTGTCATTTTCGCGCTTCGTTTGGGTCAAAAGCAGTGTTGAATTTGTATCATTATTAACCTATTTCAAATCAAATCAATCAAATCAAATTTATTTTAGCCATAAAAAAATAATATCATACAAAAGAAGGAATAAATATACATTATACTTGGCAAGGGAGCCCAATAGAAACCATTTAGAAGATAATATGTTAAAGATTAAAAAGATATTCTTTAAGTTTTTTCCGAAAACTAAAAACGGATGAAGCTTCACAGATATCCTGAGGGAGAGAGTTAAAGAATTTAACGCCTTGGTAGCTGATAGAAAATTGCCTAATATTTGTTCTACAGAAAGGAAGAAAGTATAGCTTTGAATTACGTGTGTAGTAATTGTGCACCTGATTGATATTTTGAAAAAAATTTTCAAAATTGTGCGGTAACAATCGACAGTGAAACTGGTACATGAATTTGCCTAAATGAAAAAGATAGATTTTATCAAAAGGGAGAATTCCAAGTTCCTTGAAAAAGGGTTGAGTGTGAGCGTCATATGACGCTTTATATACAATTCTTATCAGACGTTTCTGTAGTAAAACAATACGCTTTAGATTGGATGGGTAAGTTGAGCCCCATACTAGGATACAATATTGCATATACGGATAAACAAGGGAATAATATAACATAACTAGTGCTCTTGTATGGAGATAAAAACTGGCTTTCTTTATAATTCCAACCGATTTGGACATTTTCCTAGATGTTTGTGCAATGTGTGATTTCCATGTCAGATGTTCGTCTAAGATTACCCCAAGAAAGCTAGCTTCATTGACCAAATCTATTTCATGGTTATTTAAGGCAATTTTGGGATTAACGTAATACTTTTTTTGCTTCGGTTTAAAAATCATAAAATTGGTTTTCTTCAAGTTTATAGATATTTTATTTGCTGAGAGCCATGAGGATAATTTAATTAGTTCATGATTGACATGGTTAACTAGGAATTGTAAGTCTTTGTGAGAATGAAATAAATTTGTGTCATCCGCAAATAGGATTACTTGAGAACTACTTCAGGCATTACAAATGTCGTTAATGTATATTAAAAAAAGAAGCGGAGATAAAATTGAGCCTTGAGGTACCCCACAGTATATAGGAGTTTTATTCGAACAAACACCATTATACTGCACATATTGGAGTCGATTATACAAATAACTTTTGAACCAATCAAGTGCAGTACCACGGATTCCATATTGCTGAAGCTTATCAAACAAGATATCGTGGCTGACTGTGTCAAAAGCTTTAGATAAGTCTAAAAATATGCCAATTGTAAATTCATTTTTGTCAATTGCAGATGAAATTTTATTGTATAATTGCAACAAAGCTAAGTAGGTCGAATGACCACTTCTAAAACCATATTGATTATCAATAAGAATGTAAAATCTGTCGATATAGTTAATTAAACGGTTATAAACAATTTTTTCAAAAACCTTGGATAAAATTGGCAAGATTGATATAGGTCTATAATTTGATAGCAGTCGGCGATCGCCGGATTTGAAAACAGGAACAACATTCGTTCAATATATTCCAAGTATTTTTACAATTGGATTTGTTACGGTCAATTTGATCTTCATAATAAAGGCGCTTGGCAATTCGTAGTGAATGAGTTAATTTATTCTTAAATATTTTATATTTAACCAAATTATCACTGGAAGGGGAGTTTAAATAACGCTTATGGAGTCGATTTTTTTGTTTAATTGATTTTAAAAGCCCCTTAGAGAGGCAAGGTTTCTTAACTGTCGGCTTTTTGTTTTTTTATTTTTTTTAATGGAAAACAACTATTGTAAGTGTCATTAAATTTATTCAAGAAACTAGAGTAGGCTATAGTCCGTGGGCTGTCCCTCGAAATTGATTCGTTTCGTTGCCGCCATCGCGGTGCTAGAATAACTTTACGTTTTTCTATAGATTATAAAGTGCAGAGTTTAATTTTTGTTGTTCCCACTCGCCTAAACCCGCAGTTTTTTCGTAAACAACCATTGAAATTACTTCGTTTCGGCCATTTTGGATTTGGCGGCACCTTTTATCTTACGGCGTTTTAACATGAAGTATCTCGCGTCGTATAGTATCGCAGGCTTATAAACAAACTCAGTTTCTTCTATGGTTTCGTTCATTTCTTTTATTTCTACACGTTTACAACCTTTAAAGACACCGATCAATCGTGTAAGTAACTTTATAATTTTGAAAAGACATAAGATGCTGTATTTACATTGTTTCATTTAACTTTTGAGGCGTTAAATTATATTAATTTACACATTAAAAGATTTCATCATCATTTGACCATTCAGGAAAGTCGTCAAGGTCAAGTTCATTCTCACAGTTTGTGCATTTAGTGCACTGGCATATATCATTACACCTGTTTAATGCTTTTTTACAGGAGCACCGTTTGGTTGTGCAACCTGTTTTGCACTTGCAATTACAATTTGAAAGCAAAGCATCTGGAGCACATTTTCCATCCATCCACACAATTGTTATTTTGCCTTGTGAATTGCATTTCCAACCGTGATTAGCTGGGCTTGGAGCATCAATACTGGAGCATGTAGATCGCTTCCAAATTGCTGCTTGGTAATTGGCTCTTTGGACATGTTTAAGAAGGCAATCTTTGTTTGGTGGCAGAGAAGAATCAGAAAATTTGCCAAGTCGGAACATATTGTAACGTAAACGTTGACACTGGTTTCACTTTTTGCCTTGTATAATGTTCATACTGTTGCTTCTATTTTCTTTTCAAACTGCTCATCAAAGGAAAATTCAGTTCCAAGGGAGGTCAATGTAGCCACAGATGTTGGATCATGCAATAGGATATTCCAGGAAGATACCTTACTGTAACCATAAAACGAGCTCGTTGAATCACATCCTAGAAATTAACAAATTTGCAACCTTTCAGAATTACTTATACTTCCCACAGAAAAATATTTGACACTAATTTTTTCCCCCTTCACATGTCATTTTGCTGCATATTTTACTAAAAAGAATAGCAGCCCTCAGGCTGGATAACAAAAATGCCTTAGTGGGTTGGGGTGAAGTATGAACTCTTCAGACATGGCCATGTACAGTAAATATAATCTTATGATGCATTGTGTATACATTACCAGTAAAGGAATGAAATCCAATTAATGCTTTGCATTTTTCTGCTCCTAATTGCTGGACAATATACTCCATGTCAAGTATTCGGGTACGATCTTTCACTCCTGTTAGGAAATATAACTTGGCTGGAATAGTGAGAGAAAAATGTAGTAACAAGACAAACACATCGGTATCTGGACTGCGGACCAGCACATTGTTGTATCTCGTTGCATGTGATGCATGCAGCAGCATTCTTGTGTCAGCCTCCTCATGGTCGCAAGCAAATTCGGGGACTCTTTCGACAATGACACAAGCATCATTGGTAGCTGCTGGTAATATATGGTGGCACTGATCATTCTCACAGACATATAATGTTAGTCCACGTAACTTTGCAGACCTATACATGCACCAACTCTGAAAAAGGAATTGAAGTAGGGATACTTTGTTTGGTCCATGTTTCAGGAACTTTTTCCACTGTGTTGGGATCTTTTGCTCTGGACCATATATTTTGATGATAGTTGCTCCATCACTTGCTGGTAGTGAGTGCTCAATACCCTTTATACTCACTTCCGGATATGTGTTAATCACAAAGTCGACCCTCAAACATTTGTGATACACACCTAACTTTATGATACTGTCAAATATCTGTTCAGCTAGTTCACCAAATGTTGTTGGGGGGTTTTGCAATTGCTTGAACAGTTGCCATTGCATCCACGATTAATGCACCACCTTCTGGAATGCTTTCAACACTCTGACTGTTGGTGGACGTCTCGATTAATTCCAAAAGCTTGCTTTTAGGTGCCTTACGCAGTGATCCCTGCTCTGTTGAAATGGACAAAGGAAAAGGACCAAGAGAAAATGACAGGACTTCTTTCATATCGATATTTATACTTTGAGCAAGTAACAGGATGCGAGCAAAAAGGTTTCGGTTGCTCTTCAGTGTTGCTTCAGTACCATTCTTTGAAGTAACTTTCACTTTCTTCACTAATGATGTGAATGTTTTCAATTTAAGCATTGGGATTTTCGAAAAAATATCAGGTTCAGGTACAAGCAGTTTTTCCTGGATAAACGTTTGCAAATGTTTTTCTCCTGCGTCTTTCGCCATCAAGAAATCAGATCTGACTTCTTCTGTGGCTACCAGACCGCTCGTTAAATGCACTATTTCTTCTCGACCAGGCTCATATGGGTTCACCATACTTTCTAGTGTTGTCTTAATAATTTGAACATCTTTTTCATGACGAACCTTTTGTGTTTCATCTAAATCTTTTCGATTTCTATAAGCAATTAAAGAGATACATACTAGAAAAATTGTGCAGTTGTAATATTGTACACTATAATATTCCCTGCCATTTTTAACTTGAACAGTATGCATCAAGTGATGAAGAACAGTACCTATGAAGTGGGTTAGCGCCTGCCATCTTCATGCATTCTCTAGAAATAGCTGATCTCTCTGACTGTGATAAGATCCAACGCTGTATTGCTCCACGATTTAAAGAAATTCCAACCATTCCTTCAAAAAGGGCAAACAAAACAGTTGAGTCTTTTCTAATAATTTGTTGTTTTTATATCGATACAGCTATAGCATGGCATTACACAAATTAATAGACTTAGAAAAAAGTAATGGCACTTGAAGTGAACAAAAAGGAATGCTTGTAATATTTTACCTCCAGATGTTTTTGAGTTCTTGTTCAGTGTTTGCTCCATGGCCATGTCACAAGCAACAGTTGAAAAAGCATGATTGTTTTGTCTTTGGACAGTCCATTGTTGACTAAGTTCTTTAACTACACCTAAAAACAGCAACAAACTGTTAACAAACCAGGGTTCATGACTAAAAGCTAAATTAATGTACAGCTATGAAAGAAGTGCTAGTAATGCTACCTGGATCAGTTTCTTTAAGTTTTGTCATTTCTAACCAATAGGCAGTACCATATCTGGAATAGTTTACTCGATCACAGGTAGTACATTAGAAAACAAATACATGTACTTGTTCACAATGCAAAACTACAAAAAGAAATCTGTTTATAAACACTGTATGCAAAATATGAAAATATTAACCAGCAATCCTGCATCTCCAAATAGCTTTCCAATAGCACTCAAAAATGACATTGTTGCATGAAAATCACCAAGTCGAACAATGAATCGTGACAAGAATCTCTCATCTTTCCATCTTATCTGCTGGATTTTCGCATATATAGCCTCATCAAAAACCAACACAATTTTATCAAGCAATAATTCATTTGCAATCTTCATGCTTTGTTCAAGAGTCGTGTATAGAGTAGAGTAATCACTGGGGGAACCATCAACTATTGGTAGGTAGCGAATTTTGGACACTGGTGGTATTTCCAATCCCTGTACAAGCATGTTGAAACTTGTCCAACCTGGGAAGACATCTACTTGTGACTGATAAACTTTCATTAGAATATATGCAAAATCCAAAAGTCTTGCATAGGCCTGTTCGTCTACGTAATATTCTTCGTCGAGACTTTCATTCTGAATGGCAAAGCTTGGAGTTTTCTTTTTACCAAGATGATAAGGCAAAATAATGGTAGGTGGAGCCTGTAGCGATCTTCGACCCTTCTTTTTCATTGGGGGTTGCACGACACTTTCAAGAACCTCCGATTCTCTCTGAATGGCAATTCCACCAAGCACATGAGTTTGATTTCTTGAATCTTCTGAAAAATCATCGTTGTCAAAGACAAGACAAGTAAACTTGTTTTTTGCAATATCCTTAGGAATATTCAACTCAGTTGTCATGGAAAGCCTTGCTAAGTCAACCTCGTGAGTCAGAACAGAATAACGACTCGCACAATGTCCAAATCCATTAAGAACATCAGTTAGCTGGGAGGATCTTGTTAATTGTCTAACAGTCATTCCCAAAGCTAAAGACTTTGGAGTTTGGATTCTACTATTAGAATAAACAAACAACATGTCTTGGCATAATGATAAGACTTTCTTCATTTGTGCATCTTCCAGTTTAATGTAAGTCTGCATTTCAGGTACATCAGAGAAACCAAGAATCCAACTAATAAAATTAAATAGCTTTACAGGAATCATCTTGAGGGCTGTTTCGTCTGTTAGGTCTACACTTGTGAGAGGCCATGGCAATTTCATTTTTCGAATGTCGCTCATACTCGTCCTCAGAGCAATAGCATCATCGTATAATTCCTTTAATGTTACTTCTTTTTGTAGTTCCGCTTTTGAACTAAGATGCATTTCTTCATCAGTCTCAGACTGACTACTTTGACTAGTTGCAGTTTCTACAGATTTCTCAAATGCTTCCCCAACAGACAATTCTTGCACAAACACAAGTTCACTTTGTTTTTTCTATCCGGTTGATGAAAAATAAGCTGGGGATAGTCTCTTCGTAGCCTTGCTTTAAGAAGATATTTCCGATAGTTTGTAGCATCAACACCCTCAGTATCTTGCACTATTTTAACAAATTTTTTCATGCAAATTTGTCATGCGACTGACCTTCTTCTGCTGGATTATTTTCGCCACAATAACTCTGGCACAAAAAACATCGTAGCTTTGCTTGTAAAGCTCGTCACTCTCCTGTTTCTGGGATACTGTTCGGGTTAAATAACGGCAGTAGTTTATATGACACATCTTGTGATATTTGACCTCGATGGCGACACAATCTTTACCCCTAATATGTGTCAAGATTGATTCATCATTCTTCTTCTCAGCAGCTTCTCGTAGCAAGCCACCGTCGACTGTTTCTGCTGTGACTAACTTATCAAGCTTCCTTTTTCTGGTTTTCTGTGTATAAAGAGTTTTATAATTAAAATACTCCAATGATGTATTAAACTTTACCCGTTTTATACTTTTATAAACATGCACATAATATGGAATACCTGTACCTTATCCATTATATAGGCGTCCTTTCTTTTACATATGATGCACTGTACGGGAAGGACATGAATGCTTCGCCTTTCCGTGATTGTACTAGTCGAAGGTTGTGTCGAAGCGGAAGCGCATACAAATGATGCTATTCTGGAAGAACAACGTTTTTCCGAGCACGTTTTTGACATGCTTTGCTCTTTTACATCTCTCACTGGGGCCTTCTCTTTTTTCTTCATATTTCTAGCCACTTTATTTTTGTCACAAAACCTAACGTAGCACTCTTTGTGATAGCGAAAGTTAGCAGCTTCTGTAGGCAGAACATCTGGCTCGTTGTCAGGCCATGATCGCACGACATCGATAATTTTCTCGGCAATTTCTTTTGGTTCTCCATCCAAATTAATCCATTTTTCACAATATTCTTTTATTTTCACAAGTGTATGACATGTTAATTTACACAAATCTCCTGTTTTGCCACGAAAATGAATTAAACATGAGGATGAAGCAGTAAAACTACCCACGCTTTCCTCCTCCATATTTATTATTTTAATGATTTATGAGCCCGCAAGCCCGAAACGTCATGTAAAATTCGATCTCGGATAACGATATATGATGCCTCATCCGTTTTTAGATCATTATCATGAGCGATAGCAAATATAGGCAGATGATCAGAAATATCTGACAAGATTAGGCCACTGAAGGCATATTTTTCCAAGTTGTTGGTGAATATATTATCAATAAGTGTGGCGGAGTGTGACGTTAATCTAGTAGGGAGTGTAATTAGAGGAGGAAACGAATTAGCATACATTATGTCCAAAAATTTATTTGTAAATTGATGAGAACTGTGGTTCAATAAGTCCAGATTGAAATCACCCATGACATAGCAATTTTTGTTATCTCTCGAGATTTTCTCGATCAAATAATTTAATACGCTGATGAAATTGGCCACATTATGGTTTGGTGGTCTATATATCACTCCTATATGATATAATTTTTTCCCTTAGGATTAAAAATTTCAACAAATAAAGATTCAGCAATTGCATTGTCTTCGAAACACAAGTCAGTCCGTGTTTTGAATTCAAATGCAGAAGCGATATACAGGCCAACACCACCTCCAGTTCTTTCAGACCGATGATTGTGCACGAAATTGAATCCGTTAATATCAACATGATGGGTTGAATCTTGAAGCCAAGTTTCCGAAATTCCGATTACCGAGAACATAAAATTCAGGCTTGAAATCAAATTCTGTAGGCAATCTAGATTCTGTCCTAAACTACGTATATTCAAATGCATAACAGAAAGACAACATTGGTTAGTTTTTTGTCTGATAAAGTATTAATCAGACTATACATTCGGTGTAAAAATCACAATTTAGAGTTTCGTTTGAAAGTTAGAGTCTGGGTCTATGTTATGAGTTAAGGTCAAATTATTTTGATTCTTGAAATGCAATGGATTACATTTTAAATTCACTAGTCTTCCGGCTTCAAAATTCACGCGACCATGCTGCATTTCAAACAACAATAATTCAAAGCTATCATCATCTAGCGTATAGAAAGGAAGAACACTGCTGAGAGCTAGAGTCGAAGTGTAACTATTGTTTATAATGTTAAATAAAAATAAATAACTTATCTGCAGGATATAGGAATACAAATTTAGTCATTGTGGCCACTGGTATCGTTGAAACTGCTCTTAAAATCGTCGAATTCTTGCATGGAGTTGAACACGTGAGATTTCCCTTGCTGACTATCGCTCATCTTTAGATGCACTTTCCCATTCCTTGTCCATATACATTTGAAACCATGGTGGTTGCGGAATTTTTTCACTTCCGCGAATATCGCCCGGCTTTGGGCAGTCAAGCTTTCGTTGACATAAATACAACTGGCGGTGTCGAAACCGAGGTCTTGGATGGTTTGAGAGCTCAAATTTCGTCTCTTGTTATAGATTAAATCACGCGGACGTCCCGTTGGAGAAATTTAGCAATAATTGCCGGAATATATACCACCTCGTCTTGAGGGGAACCGGTGGCTTATAGATAACATAGGTTCATTAAAGTTACACTCTGGGGCGGCCATCTTAGCGACTTTTACAACAATATCATTTGTATTTTCCCCTTCAACTACTGGGATGCCATGTATTTCAAGTGTATATATCGCGACGCGAGTACTGTCGAAGATTTTTGATTGCAGTATCTGACTCACGGCAACGGTTTTCAAGATCGTAAACACGACGTTGTAGGTCATCGTTGACTTTTTGTAGTTTTTTTGTTCTCCGCCCTTACTTCCTTAATCGTGTTAGCCAGCTCGTCGAATTTCGAACCGAGAAATTGTTGGCTTGATTTTATTTCGGTTAAAACCACTTTTGTCGAGTTAGAGTGCTTTGTGAAAAGATCGTTCATTTGATTAATCTGCTGTTTCATACGATTGTCGATTAATGCTTCTAGGCTACTTTGCAGTGTGGCCAAGTTGACGTTTGCGACTAGTGTAATTTCAGCTTCCTCATCGTTAACTGTGTCGTTCGGTTTTATATTCTTCTTCTTCGGAGGCATAATATCGCAGAGATTCACAATAAAAATTGGCAATTTCGAATGATTTGAAATATTAAGCAGAGCAAAAAAAGGCACGTCTTACTCCAATGAAATAACTGAAATGCGCTACTTATTTTGTTTGATATATATACTCATATTTACACAAGCTGGTTTCGTTGTCGCGGAATCTGAATCTAGATGTACATTAATATATGTACAATATATATACAGTATATGTGCATTACAAGGTCGTATAATTCTTGCGTGACTTCGAGTTCCTCTGCATGGTTAGTAAATTGTACACGTATAAACGAACATCAAGTTGCCGGCAAAGCGCATTGATTATGTATGCCGCAGGGACCGCGGAGACGGGGTGGCTGGGGGGGCTTTAGCCCCCCCACTTTTTTTGACAGCCAAAATTATTAAAATCATGGCCAGAAATCACGGACAAAATGGCGGCTAATTCGATTTGTTATGCGCACAACGAACTTATTTTACGAAACCAAGATGGCGGATATTATACGGAATTCTATTACAGACAATATAAAATCGATGCGCACAATGAAATATAGAATGATTTTCATGTTCCACACGTCTACAAATAGTATTACCTACCTGAAAATATAGCTCTCGAGGGTTTTGACGTCTCACGATTTGCCATTAGCCGGCCCGAGTAAACTCGATTCAAAACATTTCCACACAATATAAGCTTCTATTAAATTCAGCAAATCCTCCCTACTCGCTCAGATTTAGTCCATTATAGCGCTGTCGAAAACGTTTGCCGACAACTTCCACACGTCTACATTTCTTGTACGATGTTCGATCTGCCATGGCGTATAAGTTTTAAACCGCCAGCGATTTCAGCTAAGCGGCCCCAATACTTTGAAATTGTCTGTTTGAAGCAAAATAAAACCTGAAATTCCGGCCATTGCGAGCGGTTTAGGGTAGAAAAAACCTCAAAACGTTGCCAAATACGACGCAGAAAATGCCTTATTGCTACGCCATTTTGTAATCATTTTAAGGGGCACCCGCTGACTAACAATTGCGAAGGAAAAAGGCTCCAAAACAAAAGTAATTGCGGGAAATGCAAATATATTCAAATTTGTTTGGTCTTTTAAAGTTTGGAATGTTGTATTATCTTCGTTATAGTTTTAATGTGGCTTTGATCAACAACAACGCTACGTTCGGTGCTATTTTGCATGTAATGCGTTCTTGATATGTTGAAACTCTTCAGTCTTAACAGTTCTCCTAATTCACCTTTCTGTAAAACACCATGTGAAATTTGTTAATAATATTAGAATACTTACTTTTTTCCAAATATACAGAAATGTCATTTAATCGTGCATGATCAGTGTTTGAATAGATTAATGCAATTTAAGTGCAGCTGTTATTTATGGTAAAAATTCATATTAATATTTATAGGTAGAATTCAAGAATTCCACCCTAGACCTTTATATCAGAAAACGTCTTAAGGTGATCGAACTACAGTGTATGACAAATATTTTTTCGGTTTAATCTGAGAATTTATTGCTTAAATTATGCTATAATTAGGGCATGTTTTCAGTGCAAAATTGTCAAACATTTCAAATTACGTACGCCTGAATTCAAGATAATATAATAATAAATCAAAATAATAATTAATAATAATTCATGATAATGCCAGGCAATATATATATATAGTGCTGTTTCTGTTAATTCTACATGCACATGCATACACACATACCTATACACATGCATATATATATATATATATATATATATATATATATATATATATATATATATATATATATGTTTAGTGGGTTTAAATGTTAGAATTTTCTTCTTTAAACTTTAATGTTGTCGTCACTACATCTGGAAAACCACGTAAGAACAAATTAAAAGTATTTTAAAAGAGACCAGGTTGTTTGAAAATCCTAAACGAATTTTTTTA